CCTCACCGCGCGGTTCGTCGCCACACGGTTTAGGGACACTGGAGGCCCCAGTCGCCCGAGACGTCCTCGGATATCAACCCAATTCTCCGAAACGTACGGTGACCCCGAATCCCACTGACTCACCGCATGCGCTGATTTGCGAACGCGGCGCAGTCAATTCTTCACACGATGATCTCTATATTCGGAGGGAGCCTCCCGTCAGCACGTGCAGGTTAGCCAGCTGCTGGATCATGCACCTGGGCGCCATACCCAACTGGGCCGCGGTGTGCGTGCGAGACTCGATTCCGAGTATCTGGTAAAAAGGACGCTGCGGACTTTGAATACACTGGACACACACATATGATTGCGCCTTAATACCTTCTCCAACACGCAAGCTCTTTCCATCTTGTACTGGGTTGCAGGGCATGGCGCATGCAAGGTACACGGCGCCTCATAGCCCCCCTATAACTTCCCCCCGCCAGACACAACATTGCACGTTTGAGGGGGGGGGGGGCAGCTGTATTCCGTGGCTTGCTGGCCTTTCTAGGGTGCTCCTTGGGTATCAGGAGGCGTTCGGGAGACGGCCCAAAGGGTGCGCCATACGTTTCCCAAGATGGCTCCAAAATTGCCTGGGAAGCCTCGACATGATTCAAACAAGCACCGAAGACCCATGATGCCAAACGCACCCAACAATCTTCAGCATCGATGCGTGTGTTCAGCCTGGCTGGACAAGAACGGGAAACGCTGACGTTGTCCACTGAGCTCGTAGCTTGGAAAAGGATAGAAGGACGATGGCGACGACAAGGCGGCGGATGACGAGGGAGACAGCGTGGATGACGGGGGGGGCAGCATGGGGAGCAGGAGGCCAACAAGCAGGAAGATAAGCACAAGGACGAGGAGAAAGAGGTGGAGGAGGAAGAACACGAGGATAATGACGAAAAAGGACGGTCAAGAGTCCGAGGAACATGACGTCAAATAAGGGAATCCTCGTGATCTTTCGAGCCTGCCCTGGGGGACGTTGGCGCCGTCTGGGGCATCCTGGGGGCCTTTTGGGTCCCGTCAGTATCCTCTTGGGGGACTGCTGGGGTCTTCTCGGGCTGTCGACGGCCCAAGAACTCCCCCATGACGGCCGCAAGACAGCCCTACACCACGCGAAATGGTTAAGAAATCATGGGATACGAAATTCATGGTCTCAGAACTCGAATAAAAACCCAAAATTTCTATCAAAATCTTAGAATTTACACTGAATTATTAAGAATAATCGAGACTCTGGCCAAAAACTTAAGTTTTCTTAAGCATCGCCTAAGGTGTAGAGACCTCCAAGACGGCCCTACAGGACCCAAAGAAGGACGCACGACTGCCCAAGTATGGCCCAACACGGCCTCGGCAGGCCAAGGGTCCCCTTCGACGCCCCAAGAGGGCTCCAAGAGGACATCAACGAGGCCCCAGGAGACCCCCAGCACGCCCCAGAAATCCCCCCCTCTTGGAGCCTGCAAAGGGCTCCCAGAAGCCCCCAGGAGGTTTAACATGGTTTCAAAAGGCTTTTTTGTCTTTCTCCTGTTTTTCCTGTTCCTCCTCCTCTAACTCTTTTTGAATAACTCCTCCCGCACCCCGAGGCTGGTCGAAAGGGCGGCCAGGGCGTTTCGCCTGAGACTTCCTCACACTAATGATCCTGAAAGCTACAATTTGCAACTTTCACGGATGGAAGGCGGGTCGTTCTCAAAATGTGGCTCTCGCCTTAGCCCCACATACCTGCGTCTTAATAAATGAAAGAGATTCACGGGTGGAGGACAGGTGGCTTTAACAGTGCGGCTCTCGTCTTAGCGCCACTCAAGATCGTATAAAGAAGTGGTGCAAGAGCTTCACTGATGGTAGACCTGTCGTTTTCAAAATGTGGCTCTCGCCTTACCCACAAGGACGTGCGTCTTAAAACATTGCAGGGGCTTCACGTGTTGGGGGCGGGTCGTTTTACAAATACAGCTCTCGCGCAAGCGCTGCGCACATTCGTTTTAACAAATGCAACAGCTTCACAGATGGAGAACAGGTCGTTTTAAAAGTGTGGCTCTCGCCTTAGCGCCGCTCATACCCAAATTAAACAGAAATGCGAAGAGCTTCACGGATAGAGGACAGGTCGTCTTCAAAATGTGGTTCTCGCCTCAGCGTCGCGCACAAGCGTCTTAAACAATCGCAAGGTTTCACGGGTTGACGGCGGGTCGTTTTCATAATGTAGCTCTCGCCTAAGCGCCGCGCACATTCGTCGTAAGACATTGCAAGAGCTTCACGGATGGAGGGCGTTTCCTTTTCAAAATGTGGCTCTCGCCTTAGCGCCGCGCGCATTCGTTTAAGAGAGTTTACAGCAGCTTCAAATATTCGCATGGTTCACGTCCCAAAAATGGTATTTTGGCACAATGTCGGACTGTCAGGTTGCAACAAATTACGCTTGTTCGTGTTGCTGGAGTCCCGGGAATGGTATTCCGGCACGACTCAGGATCGTCAAGATGCAACAGTAACCAGGATTCGCGGCGATGAAGCTCCAGGGGTGGTGATCTGGCACAGTTCAGGATTTTCGAATGGTTGCTTTCCAGCGAGGCACCTCCATCAGTGATAATGATTCCTTGTAGGGGCATGGGATGAGGAAACTTGGAGGGAGGGTTAATTGCAATATCTTTGATGGGTCTTGGGCTTGCCCACTGGCCATCCTCGTCTTCCTCCTCATCCCTCTGCTCCTCCTTTCTGTTCCTCTCCCCAGTCTTCCCCAAAGGGGTTCCACAACGGCTGGGGGAACACATAGTCCAATAGCTTGGCCAGACTTTGGCCCAACGTTTGGCCGCACGGTCGTTTCAAACGTGCAGGGGGCGGCGGTGATTCGCTGTAGGCGTCTTCGATCCGCCGCCCCCTCTTGATTTATCAACGGGGTGCCTGGCGTGTTTTTTTTGAATGTTGCATTCTTCTGGCAGAGCACACACTGGCCTCCGGCCCAAACCGCCCGCCACCTGGAGAGCTGCGGACTTTCATGGGTCGTCGATCTTCCCGCTCAAGACGGCCCAAAGATGGCCTCCAAGAAGACCGAGACGGCCTCCCAGACGGCTAAGATGGCCTTAATATGTTTCGACAACGGCATCTGATGCACCCGAGACGGCCCAAGATGGCCCAAGAGGCCCCCAAGACGCCACAAGAGTGGGTCCAAGAGGATCTCCAGGAGGCCAAAGCCGTTGATCTTCCTTTTCGGGCTTCCGCCGCTCCGAGACGGACCCATAAGCCCCCAATATTGCCCCAAGACGGCGCAAGAGGCTTCCAAGAGGCCCGCAAGACTGCTCAAGAGGGCCCCGAGACGGCCTAGGAACCTCCCATGACGGCCCTAAGGTGGCCACAGAGACCCCCAAGACGGCCCGAAAGTACCCCAAAAAGGACGCACGACTGCCCAGGCAGGCCTCCAAGACTGCCTCCGAAGGCGAAGAGATCTCTCAGAGGCCCCCAGGAGTCCCCACAAGGGCCCACAAGGGCCCCCAGGAGGCCCCAGGAGGCCTCCGAGAAGCCCTTCAGAAGCCCCCAAGCGGCTCCGAGGAAGCCCCCGAGACGGCCTCGAGAGCCCTCCTTTTCCTTCCTCCCACTCTCCCTCCTACACGTCCTCCTTCGCATCCCTCTCATCCTCCTTTTTCTTTCTCTAACAAGTGTTCCCCCTAGGAAGTCTGCAACGGCTGGGGTGCACACATAGTCCAATAGCTTGGCCAAACTCCGGCCGCATGGGCGTTTCCAAAGGGGGCGCCGGTAATTTGCTGTAAGCGTCTTCGATAACCCCAGACATGCTTCAAGAGGCCCAACATCCGCAAATGACGGCCTCAACGTTTCACGACGCCTCTTCCGCCTCCTCCTCTTCCTCCTCCTCCTCCTTCTCCTGCTGTCCCTTTCTCTTTCCCATTTCCGTCCTCATTACTTGGTCTCGTCATCCCTCACAACCTATCCTCCGCCTTCTCCTCCTCCTGGCAGAAACCTCGAATCACACGAGCGCGCTTGAAGTATCCCACCTACCCTGAACTAGTGTTTCCTGTCGTGTTCCTCTTCCTCGTCCTGCCTCTGCTTCCCTGCGGCCTTTCTTCACAATGCAAACCCACCTCTACTGCTTACTGGCCGGGCCCGCAGCGCACAGGATCACGGAGGACGTGCCTCAGCATCCAGGCCTCTCACGCTCAAGTCTGCTCAAATACTCCCATGGGGACGCCGCCAAATAGCTCCGAAGGCCCAGAAAATATCTAAACGCGCGCAGTGCGCCCACCGGGCCCAGGACGGCCTGCATGCGGCCCCTCGTCGGTCCACAAAGAAACAACATCGGCTGCTCCGCGAAACGCCAGTCTGTCTGGACGTGGTGTCGCTAAGCACTGTGGATCATCACAGGACAGCCACGGGACAACCACGGGACAACCACAAACCAACCACGGGTCATGTCACGGTGTAACGACGGGACGACCATCGGGACAACCATCGAGACAACCACGGGACAACCACACAAGAAGCACGGGTCATCCCACGGGACAACCACGGGACAACCATTGGGACAACCCTCGGAACAGCCGCGGGACAACAACAGGGCGACCACGGGAACCTCACGGGACAACCGTCGGGACAACTATCGGGACAATCATCGGGACAGCCACCGGAACAACCACGGAACAATTACCGGGACAACCGCGGGACAACCACACGACAACCCGAGAGCCACCGCCCGCCGTGGCGTGGGCGAGACAGCATGATGGCAACCCGCCCTGACCAGGCAAAGATCTGCCCCGCCCCCGCGCAATTTCGCATCTCCCGCACGCGGGTCAATCACGACACGAACCGAAACGGAAACCGGTTTTCCGGTTGGAGGACTCCATCTCGTCCCGACGTCACCCACCAACCTGCGATGTATGCGCTTGTACTCGCCAACGCGCATTGCCATGCTTGATATGCCATCCCTCACCTATGCCACTGTGCCCCCAAACATGGTCCACCCGTTGCCACGTTCCGGGAAAAGCGAGCCTGCATTACGATATGAACGCCTGGGTCTCGTCGCCAACGCTGCTCGTTGATGGTCCGTTATGGTCGTTGCCTTCTTTACTACTGTTCTGGTAAGTCCTGCTCATGTCGGTGAAGTCCAGTAGACCTGGCGGGGAACTTTAAATCGTGCATGGTCGATCTGATTACTTAATCTCTGTGTCGTCAGCAAATCACGGGTGGCGCGCGTGGCATCTTCAGACCAAATGCTTCGACCCTTGCAACTGCTATTACTGTGCCGCTCCTCAACCATCCCTTGCTCAACATATTTGATGACAAAAAAGGCGCGGAGAGAACAACAGAGAGAGAGAGAGAGAAAGACACGTATAACTACATACATACACATACTTACCTCATAAAGCACCCTTTGGGCGATAAAGAGGTTGGGCGACCTGGAATTCTGGGCGCCGTCGGGCGTTCTTGCACGCTCTTGGGGGGTCCCCGTGTGACTTTTCCAAAGGCTACGAGCGCGTTGTTCGGGACATGCGTGTCCAACATGGTATCAAACGGCCCCGGGGATCGTGTCAAGTCCCCCTTGAGACAAGCAGTCAGGAAGTCTCAAGCGGCACCCCCCCCCTCCCTGTGCGGCCCGCAGCTCGTGTTACTAATCTGGACAGGTCGTCGGGACCCCAAAACTGTCGTCACTTCTGGCGTGGAGGAAGCTCACACGGGAACCGCGTCTGCGAGTGAACTGGGAAGAAAACTAACGCGAGAGCCCCCTCCCAATGCGTCCCGCGACCCATGCATGGTACTAACTCGACCGAACCATCGGGATCCTGCAATTGTCGTCATTTTTTGCCTCTTCAAGCTTGAGGAAATCTCAGGCTGGAGACTTTTCGAGCGGGGTCTCCGTCTGTGAGACAACGGCAAAGAAATCTCGGGATGGAGCCAACCAGCTTGTCTGTGAAAAGGACCTGGGGGAAGTTTTGAGCCCATGCGCTCTCCATGAGGCCTTGGCGAACACAGTTTCGCCGCGTACGTTTCGAAGCAGTCACAACGGCAGGAAGCAAAGGCCAATGGGCTGTGAAGAGCATGTCGCAACACTGAAGTGGCCGGCGAATTGCTACGCGGAGCCGGAAGCGCTGACGACGACGGTGAAGCCGAGGCGCGGGCGAGCAGCTTGCTCATGTTCAAGCCCAGCGAGCAAGAGCTCACGTGGCCGTGCTCGGGGCCGCACGTCGTGCGCCTCTCGGGGTTCGCCCTGGCGCACGCGACATACCTGGCTTCCACCCTGTCGCAAGGTCAGACGTTGCGCAAGGGCGTCACCATCGACTGCGCCAAGGATGATGACGCTGGTGGCACGGGCATGTCGGACGAGCCGTGGTGGCTGCACCTCTACGTCACTCTCCCGCGCCACGCGCATGCAGAACATGCTGACAATGCGGCCGCCCATGCGAGAGTTCCTTCAGCGTGGGCCGCTGGCTTTCCTGCGGAAGGCGCTCAGGAAGTGCGACGAGAGAGCGGATCGCTCCAGGTCTCAGGCGGAGCAGCTCGCAGCAAAGCTCGGCTTCGTGCCGCCTCCGGCCTGAGCGCGGCCGCGACTAGCTCGAGCCCTGCGGGGTTGTCCCAACGGCTTGCTCCCGCGCCCCAGCGGCTCGCGGGGTTGTCCGCGGGGTCGCCCCAGAAACCTAGCCCGCGGGGTTGCCCCAACGGCTTCGCGATCTGGCCACCGGGGAACGCACCAATGCCGGCCGTGGCGGCAACGGCGCCCATGAAAATCGCCTCCCGTGGACGTATGAAAAGGGGCAGGGGAGGAGGTGGATGGGGAAGAAGAGGCAGAGCAGGGGGCGGGACGAGGGCCTCTGCCAAGGCGAAAACGAGAAGGGCGATGAGGAGACGGGAAGGTAGCCTCTCCACTCACAAAGGCGACGATTAGTTTTACTTCTATATCCGTGTGGGAAATTATCATGTGGGGCCTACCGTGGGAATAGTTCCAAAGGGGAACGCTTCGTCCAGGCTTGGAAGGGTGGTTGAACCTTATGTGTCTGTAGAACAGAGAATACATGCGGTGCAAGCTCTGTAGTGCAAGCTATGTTGTGGAAGCTATGTGGTAGACAATGTGCGTTGCAACCGATGCGTCAAACACGCATTGTTGTAAGTTATGCCGTGTAGGCTGCACGGTGCAATTTATGATGTGCAAGCTGTGTGTACGTTGTGTGATGTAAGGTGTGTGCTGTAAGCTATGCAGTGTAAGACGCGGGTGCGGGCCATGTGGTGCAAGCGGTATGGTGGAAGTTGTGCGGCTTGAGCTATATGGTGAAACCTAATGCAGTGTAGGATATGTGGTGGCAATGTATGTGGCACACGGCGTGGTCACCACACCGCTCGGGACCCCCCGAAAACGAGGAGGCGAGACCCAGACCCGCGACGTCGTGATTTGTTCACAACGTCGACCCCCAGAGGTCTCGACCCCTTCCACGGGACCAGCTTTTTTTTTACGACGACATGAGAGCGAAGAAAGCCTCTGAACGTTTCAGGTAGGCTGCGATGGACTAGACCACGCTGGGCGTCTCCGCCACCCCGACCCGCACGGTGTACTGTGAAAGCTGCGTCGTGTGAGCTGGGAGGTGCAGGTCTGGAGGTGCACCGTTTGCTTGTGCACGCCGCGGGCGCGCGCGGAGCACGCCTGCGAGAGACCCGCCCGGCGGCAGCGCGCGGGAGAGGCCGGTGCCGCTCGTGGAGCCCGTGGTTGGCCATCGGAGGAGGAGGAGGAGGAGGAGGATGAGGAGGAAGAGGAGGAGGAGGAGGGGGAGGAGGAGGGAGGAGGAAGAGGAGGAGGGGGGGAGGAGGAGGAGGAGGAGGAGGAGGAGGAGGAGGAGGAGGAGGAGGAGGAGGAGGAGGAGGAGGAGGAGGAGGAGGAGGAGGAGGAGGAGGAGGAGGAGGAGGAGGAGGAGGAGGAGGAGGAGGAGGAGGAGGATGTGGTGAAGCCGATGGGGCCGCCCACGGGGCGCCACGGGCGGCTGCGCCGCCGCGGGCGGGCAGCTCCCGAGGTGCCCACGAGGCGCCCAAGACCAGCGACCAGGAGGGCACCGGGCAAAACCCCACACAACAACACCGAACGCACGGAGCGCCCGTGAGGCGCCCACGGAAGGCAGCCAATCGGGCACCGGCCCAAACCCAGACAGACCCATCCAACCACGGATCAACGCAAGAAATAAACCTAAGTGCAAGCGCTGCTTGGGGAGTATGTCCTTACCTGTGCGTATGTATGCACGTATGTATGCATGCATGCATGTATGCATGTCTGCATTCATGTTTACATGTACGCATACATGCAAGCATGCATGCATGTATGTATATATGCGTGTATGTGTGTGTGTGCCTGCCTGCCTGCCTGTCTGTCTGTCTGACTGTCTTCATGCATGCATGTATGGATGCATGCATCCATGCATGCATGCATTCATGTATGTATACATGTATGTGTGTATGCATGTCTGGAATTTTGTATGCATGTATGTCTGTACGTATGTCTGTATGTGTGCACGTCTGTATGTTTGTGTGTCTGTATGTGTGCATGTGGACGCTGACAGGGGGGTCGAAACGGGGGGGCCACTTCCCCCCTGAATTGCAACAGGGGGGTGGTTGAACCAGGGTGGGTGGTGGGCCCGCCCTCCCAAGTGGCCACCGTCGACGGCGAGCGCCACCGCCGGGGCTGGCGCCGTCAGGCAGCGAAGGCGACGACGCGAAGGACGACGACGACGACGACGACGACGATCGAGCCTCACTGAACCTCAGTAGGATGCTATCAAGGCTGTATCGAGCCCTGATAAGATCCTGTGAAAGCTGGATCAAATACTACTAAGATTCAATGAGAACTGAATCCAGGTACAACAGGACTCTATTACAAGTGGATCGAGCTTTACTAATATTCAAGTAGGGCTGGATCCGTCTATAAATGGATTGTATAAGATCTGGGTCGAACTCCGCTACTAAATCTGGATCCAGCTATACCAAGATTCTACCAGAGCTGGATTGGGCCTTGGTGCGATTGAATCATAATTGGGTACAGCTATGACAGGATTCTGTCAAACTTGGATCGGACCCGATTCGGATGCGATTGAAGTTGGATTCAACAATACTAAGATTGCAGTATGATTTGATCGAGCACAAATAAAGTTCTACTCTGAAGAAAGGGGGACCGGGGTCGAACCACCCTGGACAAGGGGAGGGCCCCCCACCCGGCACGAACACCCCCCACCCTTTGGAAGGGGGGTGGGGGGTGGGGCGGTTAGAGAGGCCGTTGTCTTGGGGGGGGCTGGTTCTCCAGGCGCTTCATGTAGTTAGGAGGGGGGACCGGTTCCGACGTGTCTAACAATTTCTTCAAGCGGACGACCACGAAACGCGTTTCTCCTGTATCCAGAGATGGACCCGTTAGCCAGCGCGGAGTACAAAACATTGAGTTATTGCATTGGTGAGGTGAAAGTGAAGCGGTGTAAGCTATGTCGTGTAATCTATGTCGTCTGAACTATGTGGTAAGAGCAATGGAGCTAGCAGGTATGCATTTTTTATTACAACAAAAACGCACCACCCCGCCTGCGATGTTGTTTGACTGGTTTTTCAGCCCAAGCTTGCTGGAACGCTCCGTGTCTTCTATTTAGCAACAATATCCGCCCCTCGAAAAGAACCTCGGGTTCCGCAGAACTTCCCACCCGCTTCTGCCATTGAGTGCGCAGGAAAGCTTCGCACACCGACGGAAAACGGATAATGGCCTGTGCAGACGGCGGATGAGCATAGAGAGTGAACAGGGGAATCGTGTCGGTACAATCCACACTCGGTTCCAACCAGTGCCTGAAAATCCCCCGCAACCGAGGGCACGCGCAATCGTAAAGCATATCGTCAAGGCCGATCGACTCGTAATCGGGGTGCGGGCAACCGAACACACGCCCACGTCGAACTGCAAGGAGCCGAACCGTCGTGCAAACACCACGACGAGCGATCCGTAGCGGGGCCAAGCCGATGCACATCTTGGTACGTCCACGACGAACCGAATCTTGCAGATCATCTGAGCGACGGCGATCGGTTAGGGTGGCGGCAACCAGGAGGATCTGCATTGCCACGGTCCTGACTCAGGGCGCTGATCCAGATCCACTGGGGCACGCCAGCACAGTG